CTTCTTATAACCTTCAAGTTGAGCACAAAATAAAAGTATGATATCACAATCTTTGAAAGTACACTTTCAGTTATATATGTCATATGTATAATTAATTTGGCAGGGACAAAGAAATACATAACATAAACTGTTTTAACACCATAACTTTACTTAGGAATGATAAAACATGTGAAAATTGATACACATGTTCTTTGTGAACATCCTCATAGCTTGAATTCTTTACCAATTGTCTTGTTATGAGTCTAATTACCACTAATGAAGGCACTAATTAAAATTAATTGCTCAAGTTTTTAATTCAAGCTATGACTATGTTCACAAAAAGCACATGTATCAATTTTCATGTTTTATCATTCCTAAGTAAAGTTATGGTGTTAAAACAGTTTATGTTATGTATTTCTTTATCCCTGCTGCATTAATTATACATATGACATATATAACTGAAAGTGTACTTAGCACTTGATAACATTTGACTACTGAACAAGCTAAAGATGATGAGTATAAGCATATTTACTTCTACTTGAAAACTGGACAGTTGTTAGATGATTCTACTATAGTTACAGAAACTGTAAATAAATCCAAACACTATATCTTGAATGATAATGTTCTTTATTACACAAAAAGGGTTGCTAGCATTGGTGAATACAAACTAGTTATTCCCAGAACAATGAGACTAGCAATGTTAATAGAACTGTATGATCATCCTTAAGCTGGTCATCTAGGTGTTAGAAAAACCATAGCCAAAGTATCCAGATGTGCTGATTGGCCTGGTATTGTGTTATCATGCCATGTTTGTCAAACCACTAAATTTGATCAGAACTGGCCAGCAGGATTTATACAAAGCACTAAACTAATGGAACCTCATGAAATAATAGAAGCAGATACCATGGGACCTTATCCTAAATCTACTACCAGGAATAGTTAACTGTTGGTTGTAGCAGATTATTTCAGTAAAAGGGTCGAATTATATCCTCTTAAACAAACAACTACTAAGGTGATAGTGAAAAAACTAACTAATGAATATTTGTGTAGATACTGTATTCTAAATGTTTGAAAGTTTTCTTTTGGATTTCTGTGGTTGTTAAAGTTTAATAAGTTCTTTTTTATGTTTGCCCTTGGTAGTAGCAGAATTTTGTTACAACGTTTGCACTGTTTCAGTAGACATGAAGCTAAAGCACTTACTAAAGATGCAATACAAGTACCCAACATGGATTACCATCACCTGCAAGCATGCAGAGAAAGGGATAATTTCATTAGGTCTAAGTTTCTGATACCTGGGACTGGTTCCATCAATGTTGAAAGTAACTACCAGTCAATAGAAAGAGGAAAAACAACTGCCTTTACCTTAATTTTTTTAAAAATTGTATTTGATCCCTAGTCTTCTATAAGCAAAGCTTGTGCCATTAACCATAATTAAAAAGATTAATGAAATGTCAAAATAGTGATCATACAATAAACAAACTGCAGCAACTACAAGAATGTTTGTTAATGCAGAACATTAGACTGATATAAATCCCTTTCTTTTATGTCAACATTTAATTAATGCACTTACTTTATGCCAGAAAATAAATACATTAGAAGATGGCCATTACTAAAGCATGACAAAAGTAAAGTAGGAAGAATAAGTACTTGGATCAGACAGATATATCTGATCAGTTAATGAATACAAATGTTACATTGGAAAAATTGTCCATTTGTGTCATGTGTTTGTGTCAAGTAGGAAGAATAAGTACTTGGATCAGACAGATATATCTGATCAGTTAATGAATACAAATGTTACATTGGAAAAATTGTCCATTTGTGTCATGTGTTTGTATAATAAAACGCTCTTAGGCTGTTTGGTAAACTTGTAGTCTGCCTTTTTAGTTAGCTAACAAGGTAAATTCTAAAGGGGCTTACTGCATAATTGGGGTGAACAACCATAAGTAATTTAAAAAGTCTGCACCATCATAGAGAAGAGAATGAGGGAAGACAGGTGACCAAAGTACCACTTCACATAATGTAATTTTACTCACATTTACTTTAATCTTTTGACAGATGGCCAAAGTATTACTTTACATAATGTAATTTTACTCACATTTACTTTAATCTTTCGACAGGTGGCCAAAGTATCACTTTACATAATGTAATTTTACTCACATTTACTTTAATCTTTTCTCTAAAACATATTTCAAATGAAAATACCAATCAAAAATCTGACTTTTTTTTGTCAAAGTGATACTAAAAATTGGAATTCAAATAGAGTAAGAGGACCTCATGAAATTACAAATTTAGGCTCAGCTGAGAAATTAAATGTCTTCCGAGATACCTTGAAATGCTGTAATGATCAAATTAGATCAATTCACAAGCCTTAATATTCTATGTACAGAGATAATTTCAAAGAATGCTCAAATAAGATATATTACATCAACAGATTGTGCAATACCAGGAATCTAAACTAGAAAACAAGCTTGTTGTAATACTAAAAAAAAAACAACAAAAAAAACGTTTTATTATTCTAAATATAAAAGATTATAGAGTGTAACCAGTGTTTGTATTCAAGAAAAAAAAATATTGAACTTTTTGGTGTTGAATTCTTGACAAAGCAATATATAAGTTAACATATAACATATTTTTATTCTTATCATATTCGCAAGTATTTTATTAAATATTTTCAAAGATAAAAAATAATTAGGAAATATTACTTATGTTGCTTTTATTCATTATTTGTTTGTATGCTTAAGTTTTTTAATACTACCCAAAGGGATGAATATTAAAATTAATTTTCAAGGAATTTTGCAAATAAAATAATATGCATTGAAGATGGAACTTAAACATCAAATGTCCATGTAACTTCGAGTCATATTTGAAACCATTAAGTTTCAAACATGTTCCTATAATCTGTCTGAATAGATATTTGTATCTGCAAGTCTTATACAACAGTTCTCTTCTAAAATAATACCAAGTTAATTTGAAGTTTTTGCATTGGAAATGTTTATAAACTTATAAGATATAAAAATACAATAGGTAATACACTAAGTTCAAGTTCTTACTAATATCATCATGCACTAACCATTAAAAACATTGCCCCCTCCCTAAATTGTCAAATTCCTTGAACAATCCTATTACACAAATAAAATAATGGTACATTAAACCCTCTAATGTCTTCTTAATATTCAAGTGTCCAACTGTTGGCAAGATTATGGAAATGACATAATTCTTCTGATTTCAATTACTGTGGAAATGTCAGCTGAACGCATATTTTCTTTCACTGATGTCTTCTCATTTTTAACATAACAAGTCTTCTTATAAGCATAACAAATCCCACTGTGCCCAGTACCTCTTTGTTTTTAGGCAGTACTGAGTCACTGTTTGCCATGAGGGTCATACTGTTTCATTCCTTATATACTGAATAATTGGATTAATACTGATATATCTTGCCTGAGGGTTGGACCATCTTGGATTCTGCTCTGTTGCACTTTAGATTTGTTTTCTATAATATTGTGCTTCAGTGTTTTCACAGTGTTTACACTCTTCTATTATAAAATGTCTTTATGATAATCCATGGCACTATCCAGAGCAATTACACAATGTTGAAGTTGTACTCTTGAAGTTTCTGGAACAACCTTGATATTTAACATTCTGGATTGTGGATGATCTGTCTGGAGTGTAAAGTTTGGTTTTGAATAACTTGGGGCTTGAACAAAACTTATTAGTTGTTGTTTCAAGGATATTAGTTCTTTCAAAATGATACAATACCTCCTTTGTCTAGTTCATTGCTTTGCTATAATATATAATAACATGGTCTTTGCACAGCATTGCTCTCATTCATAATCACTGGCATTTGTATATATTATGACTGAATATTCTAAAGTGGAATAATGTAATAGCAGTAGTTAATTTGTTCTCCAGTTGTTGAATAACTATTCACACTCAGCAGTTCAGCAAAACATAGTTGGTTTGTTCAATAGTTTGTGTAGAGGGTAAGCTAGATCAGATAATTATTTACAAAACGGCCACAGTAAGTGCAAAGTCCAAGAAATCCTCTTACATCATGCAAGTTTAATGATATTGGCCAATTCTGAATAGATTCAATCTTGGTTGATTCTGTAGATACTCCATCTCCATTCACTATGTGTTCCACGAAACTCACCTGTTAATTCAGCTTAAGATTCTTTTTCATCTACCAATCCAGTGCTTTTCTTAACCAGTCACAAACATCATTGAAGTTCTTCCTATGTGCAATTATATCATATCAGTAAATGAATATAAAATTTCATGGTAGGCCAGAAAGAGAGAGCACATTTCATTAGTCTTTCAAATTTACCAAATGCATTATGTAATCTAAATAATAACACAACAAACTGCCAAATCTGTCTTTATCTTATTTACTTCATCGACTTGCATTTGTCAACATTCAATCTTCAGTTCCATAGTTGAAAACTATTCTGACCAAGATAAAGCAACCAAAGTAGAGTAAGTCCTTGTAAATGAGTATTTGGTTGTGCCACGTCCCAGATACTAGATGTAAAGTTGTTCCTATTATGAGTAGTTCACTTATAGGTGGTTTAATAATTGTCATTGTTGTTGTTACTGGAAGTTTAATTTTTGGTGTTGTGTTGTTTACAGGAATGTTCTGACCTCACATCCATGTTTCTACATGAAGTATATTCCCAATATGTACTCTTCCTCAATGTCAATTAATTAATTACACATTATTTTGGGTAGAAAATCTTTCTACAGTGAGATTGATTTCTAACTTTAGTGTTGCTGAAACTTTATGACTTCTTCCCATTTGCATCAATCTTTCTTTTTGTTTCATCTCTAGAGGCAATGTTCCACTTTTCATTATCAGATTGGGTTGAACAATGGTAAATGTAGAACCAATTTTGACCAACATGTTGCAAGGCTTCCTATCAATAAATTCATAACTTGTAAACTGATTTCTTTAGATAATGCAATCCTTATCTCAAATGGAACAGATGGAGTGTTTATAACTGAATTTCACTAAAGCTAATTCTTGTTTTCCAATGTTTGATTAGCATCCTATCGACCCTTCAATCCAGTTGTGCTCTAGGACACATCCTTATTATATCATCTCCTTGGTTTATCCTCATCCACTACAGCATCTATGAAGTGGTTGCATTCCAATAAATCCACCATTTTCTGTATAACATCTGGATAATATACTGAGGCAAGTCTTTCACAATACCTTATACATGTTAAGTTAATTTCTTGTTTTTCCTTCTTACGCCATTCCTAAACTTTGCTTTATAAACTTCCTTCTAATGTAACATTCAAAATCTCAAACTGACCTTCAGCAGTGTTTGAAGTTTGGCAACCTTTGGATTAGCAAACCTTCCAAAATTTCTCTTTTGGCATAATTTCCAGTTTTATATATTTGTCTGGCTGATTTCCAGTTGATTTTATAATCAACATTCCTCATGTATAGTAAAATAAAATAAATTGTTTTACCATTTGCAACATCTTTTTTATGTTCTGCAGTTCTGTTAAGCTCAACCAATCAAATTTCAATATATCCATCTGCTAGTTTTTTTTTGTTTTTTTTGTACTATCTAGATCAGGAGTTCACTTCTTGTAGTTGTTGTACCTGATGATACCAGGTTAACCTGATGAAATGTTGTAACCATACATATTATACTCTGTGTATCTGACAATAAACAAATTTTAGATAAAAATTATTGTTTGCTACTTTAAGATTATGCACATATGTTTATATCGCCTCTGAAGCAACAAAACTTAGTTATGTTTATTCAAAAGCCATATATTGTAATTGCCTCTTAGATACAGATTACGTGCACTTTTGAAATACACAAAAATTAGATTATCACACAGAAACTGAGACCCAACTGAGATACAAAGACATGCCCTAAATGTGATAGTTTGAATTCTTAAAAACTGCAATACTAGAAGTAGCTCAATTGGAAGAACAATCATCTGGCATGCATAATAACATGGATTCAATTCCAAGTCCAGGAGATGTAGAAATGGATTACAACAGAATGTATTTGTGTATCTATGTAAGGTAGAAAATTTAAAAACTCCTAACAGTAACAAAACCATTATCTCATACCTGGAGTAGGAGGTGTTGAGCCACGAGAATTTGAAGGTTTGGAATTGGTGAGTACATCGTTTACTATACCACCCAAGTTTCCTGATGAACTAGGCCTACTTTAGTGTACAAAAAAAATTAATAAACTATCAAAATATCCAAAACATTTAAATATTTATAAAAATTATGAAGTGCCATTTAAAATTTCAACTAAAATAACAGTTTAAAAAATTCTTATTACTTATTGTGCAATACATGTTTGTAGCCTTAGATCTTTCGTCTTAAATGTTCATTGCATAAAATTAAATATTTGTTACTTTAAGATTATGCATATATCATGTTTATATCTCCTCTGAAGCAATAAAACTTACTAATATTTATTCAAAAGTCATATATTGTTAGTACCTCTTAGAAACAGATTATATGCACTCTAAAAATTAATAACAGTACTGTGAATGAATACTACTTCATTAAAAAAACTAATAAAAGCTTAATTTTGCATATTTCAACTCCAATGTATGTTATTAATCACAGTTTCATTATTTACATATGTAGTTTAAGTGGGTTATAATCATATAAATCTGATGGCAAAATAGACGAAAGATCTAAGGCTACAAACATGCAATGCAAACAGTAAACAGACAAACATCCTACTATATTGCATAAATTTAGAAGGCAGACTTAATACTGCTATATAATATAACATTTTGAGACAAAATGGGACCCATTGGTCCATCTTGGCTATTCCATCTTCTATAATAAATTAAAATAATTTTTTTAAAAAACCTGAAGCTAGCCTTTATCATTCATATACCTATCAAGCTTTTTCTTAAACAAACTTAAATTTACTGCCTCTACAACATCCAAAGGCAACCCATTCTAAAGGCCAACCATCCTGTTAGAAAAATGAAACCGT